TATTGATAGATAGATAGATGATAGATGATAGATAGATAGATAGATAGATAGATAGATAGATAGATAGATAGATAGATAGATAGATAGATAGATAGATAGATAGATAGATAGATAGATAGATAGATAGATAGATAGATAGATAGATAGATAGATAGATAGATAGATAGATAGATAGATAGATAGATAGATAGATAGATAGATAGATAGATAGATAGATAGATAGATAGATAGATAGATAGATAGATAGATAGATAGATAGATAGATAGATAGATAGATAGATAGATAGATAGATAGATAGATAGATAGATAGATAGATAGATAGATAGATAGATAGATAGATAGATAGATAGATAGATAGATAGATAGATAGATAGATAGATAGATAGATAGATAGATAGATAGATAGATAGATAGATAGATAGATAGATAGATAGATAGATAGATAGATAGATAGATAGATAGATAGATAGATAGATAGATAGATAGATAGATAGATAGATAGATAGATAGATAGATAGATAGATAGATAGATAGATAGATAGATAGATAGATAGATAGATAGATAGATAGATAGATAGATAGATAGATAGATAGATAGATAGATAGATAGATAGATAGATAGATAGATAGATAGATAGATAGATAGATAGATAGATAGATAGATAGATAGATAGATAGATAGATAGATAGATAGATAGATAGATAGATAGATAGATAGATAGATAGATAGATAGATAGATAGATAGATAGATAGATAGATAGATAGATAGATAGATAGATAGATAGATAGATAGATAGATAGATAGATAGATAGATAGATAGATAGATAGATAGATAGATAGATAGATAGATAGATAGATAGATAGATAGATAGATAGATAGATAGATAGATAGATAGATAGATAGATAGATAGATAGATAGATAGATAGATAGATAGATAGATAGATAGATAGATAGATAGATAGATAGATAGATAGATAGATAGATAGATAGATAGATAGATAGATAGATAGATAGATAGATAGATAGATAGATAGATAGATAGATAGATAGATAGATAGATAGATAGATAGATAGATAGATAGATAGATAGATAGATAGATAGATAGATAGATAGATAGATAGATAGATAGATAGATAGATAGATAGATAGATAGATAGATAGATAGATAGATAGATAGATAGATAGATAGATAGATAGATAGATAGATAGATAGATAGATAGATAGATAGATAGATAGATAGATAGATAGATAGATAGATAGATAGATAGATAGATAGATAGATAGATAGATAGATAGATAGATAGATAGATAGATAGATAGATAGATAGATAGATAGATAGATAGATAGATAGATAGATAGATAGATAGATAGATAGATAGATAGATAGATAGATAGATAGATAGATAGATAGATAGATAGATAGATAGATAGATAGATAGATAGATAGATAGATAGATAGATAGATAGATAGATAGATAGATAGATAGATAGATAGATAGATAGATAGATAGATAGATAGATAGATAGATAGATAGATAGATAGATAGATAGATAGATAGATAGATAGATAGATAGATAGATAGATAGATAGATAGATAGATAGATAGATAGATAGATAGATAGATAGATAGATAGATAGATAGATAGATAGATAGATAGATAGATAGATAGATAGATAGATAGATAGATAGATAGATAGATAGATAGATAGATAGATAGATAGATAGATAGATAGATAGATAGATAGATAGATAGATAGATAGATAGATAGATAGATAGATAGATAGATAGATAGATAGATAGATAGATAGATAGATAGATAGATAGATAGATAGATAGATAGATAGATAGATAGATAGATAGATAGATAGATAGATAGATAGATAGATAGATAGATAGATAGATAGATAGATAGATAGATAGATAGATAGATAGATAGATAGATAGATAGATAGATAGATAGATAGATAGATAGATAGATAGATAGATAGATAGATAGATAGATAGATAGATAGATAGATAGATAGATAGATAGATAGATAGATAGATAGATAGATAGATAGATAGATAGATAGATAGATAGATAGATAGATAGATAGATAGATAGATAGATAGATAGATAGATAGATAGATAGATAGATAGATAGATAGATAGATAGATAGATAGATAGATAGATAGATAGATAGATAGATAGATAGATAGATAGATAGATAGATAGATAGATAGATAGATAGATAGATAGATAGATAGATAGATAGATAGATAGATAGATAGATAGATAGATAGATAGATAGATAGATAGATAGATAGATAGATAGATAGATAGATAGATAGATAGATAGATAGATAGATAGATAGATAGATAGATAGATAGATAGATAGATAGATAGATAGATAGATAGATAGATAGATAGATAGATAGATAGATAGATAGATAGATAGATAGATAGATAGATAGATAGATAGATAGATAGATAGATAGATAGATAGATAGATAGATAGATAGATAGATAGATAGATAGATAGATAGATAGATAGATAGATAGATAGATAGATAGATAGATAGATAGATAGATAGATAGATAGATAGATAGATAGATAGATAGATAGATAGATAGATAGATAGATAGATAGATAGATAGATAGATAGATAGATAGATAGATAGATAGATAGATAGATAGATAGATAGATAGATAGATAGATAGATAGATAGATAGATAGATAGATAGATAGATAGATAGATAGATAGATAGATAGATAGATAGATAGATAGATAGATAGATAGATAGATAGATAGATAGATAGATAGATAGATAGATAGATAGATAGATAGA